ACACCACACTAGTGTTAGTCCGACTAAGCCACACCTCCAACGGGAATTTTCATAGGCTGATTTCTGAGGTCTGACTTCAAGGCACGATTTAGCAATGCAGGTGGATTTCCGCTTCGCTGTGCTTTGCCTCCTGATGGAGTGCCTGCTGTCCCTACAGCACTTGTGTGCTCTGCTGATGTATGACCTCACAGCAACTCTGTCTGGGGACAATGAATTTTTAAGATGATGCCTTTATGTAGGTTTTAATTCCAAAATCAAGATAAATCATCTTAGGAACTGAAGGAGGTGAAGGGCACAGATGATGTCGTATCACTTACGGAGCACTTTGAGAATCTATTTTCTCCTGTGACCTTCAGCAATCTCCTGCAGCGGTTGTTAAGAGCAAAGATATAAAATACAATCCATTCACATATCAACTACTAATAATCAGCCCTCCCTCTTATTAAACAAAATTTTAAAGTAGCATGCAGTCTCACCTGCTGTCCTGGCAAGAATTTTTCATGAATCAACATGACATGGAGCATATCTTTATTATTTTTAGCATAAGTGTCAAAAATATCTAAACATACATTATTAAATTAATATCAAATATCTAGAAACAAAGAACATCAATTTTTATATAATCCAACAATTCTTCTAGATGATTTTTTTTTCCCCAGAACTTATGGGTTTTATTTCTTTTCCAGAACTTACTCCTGTTAGAGAAAATAAAGTTGTCTAGTATCCCAACAGTAAGAATGAAAAGAGGAAAAAATGTCACAGTGAATATGTCCACATAAGAAATATGAGTAATTTAACAAAAACTATTCCAAGCTTTAAGGGAAACTGGATTGCAAATGTAGGATTCAGCAAATTTCAATCCTAAATGTTGTGAACATAAAAGATTTTCCCACTACAAACCCTTGTACTTTACAATAGGAGTAGAAAGGAGGTAATCTTTCTGATATTTTTTAAAAGGCTTATCTGCGTAACAAATCTTAACATTGAACAGAGTCTGGTGGGTTTTTTTTCCTCCCAACAGTAAATAGCAATCCCACTGACAACATTGCTGTTTTCCAAAAACAGTACAGCTGCAGACAGTAGAAATAAGTTGCCAAAACACAGAAGACCCAAAGCTAAACTTTGTAGCTTTGCCTGCTACCACTGGGAATGCAATTATTTCACAACTCAAAAATAACCAAACTAAGATAGCAAATTCTCAGTGTTGACTGCATCTCCACTCACATACACATCCGATAAAGTAATTTTAAGTTAAACTTATTTTTAATAAGAGTCTAGGTAAAGACTGAAGAATTGGGTCAGAAAGCCCTAAGTACAGAGAAAATCTGTTTTAGTAGCAAATATAATAAGCTTCCTGCAGTATTAAGTTATTTGGAAGAATGTTGGATGTGGTGCTGGTTTCACTTACACCAGCATAATTCAGAAAGAATTCAGCTGAAGTCAATGGAATTATTCCTATGAAAGATGAAATTAAGATCATTAAGCAGCAAAACTGCAGAGACTATGTAAACATATCAACATTAATACTTGTTTGCTTTATAGTACATCAAACATTATCCAACTTGCAGTCCTTTAGATTTCAATTATGCATGTAGGATCTGGGATAAATATCTTCCAAATTCCTCCATGATCATCTGCTCAGCTAGACAGAGAGAGTAACCACTTTTTTCTGCTTCTTCAGCTTGCACCAGGAGACAAGCACATATTACTTTCACTTCTTCCCAAGATATACATACAGCTGGTTGCCTGAGAGGGGAAAAGAAACAGGTATGAAATATCTCCATTTTAAATAACAAAATAACTTGAAAGACAAACTGCAAAACTGAGTTAAGAGTTGGAACACACAGAGCTGAGTAGCTGCACTGTTACTATAAGATACATCCTTCTAGGAATTAAAATTTCAGAGCCTGGAGTAAAGCTTCCTAAAATCAATTAAGAGGTGGTTTGATTAGTTCTAATTATTAAAAACAGGTGTTTTGATTTATCAGGAAAATTACTATAAACCAATCCAAAACTGAGATTAGGCTACAACTCTGCCAGATACCATAACAACAGGACAGTATGGCCTTAGAATATTTTACAATCCTAACTACCAGCACAAAATTGAGAGGAGGTGGACCAGAGGAAGAAGAAATGGGAAATAAGCACAGACATAAACATTCTTATTAACTGAACATCACAAACATAATTTTCTTCTTCCTAAGTACTTTGGTCAAGGTTTTGTTAGAAATGAATTCTCAAACAGAAAAATTTAAGAATAGAGAAACTGAAGGAAAACCAGAAAGTAGATAAGGAGGGAAAAAAGTTGAGATTTATATGTGATCAATAAATGTTTCATAAGCAGAACTAATACATATATCCCTGAATTCTGCGTACAATATTCTTAAAAGGCAGTTATAGCCTCTCCTTCAGCTATTTTATTTATAGAAACAAGATGGCAAATGCTATGTGAAGTGATTCCTTGTATATCAGCCATCTGTCATTTTATTCACTGTTTCTTAGATAAAGATGATAATGGTTACATGAAAAATTAATGAACTCAGACTAATGGACTACGCATTTCCATTTCTGAATATTCACCTGTCTTTCCTCAATTTTGGTAATGTTTTGAATGTCGATGTCAAAACTGGGCTATTTTCTTCATTGTTTCCAATGTCCATGTAGCTTAGTACATTCAACTGTTTCTTTTCACCTGGACTTTCTTCACAGTTTGTGCAATCAATGCATTTGCAAACAGAGGAACACATAATTTTAGCCTGGCAAATAAAGAATACTTAGAATAAAAACTGTATGAATATTGAAGTAAATATACATTTGATCAACTATTGCAGCTATAGCACCAGGGACATATTCTAGAGGTGCTGGTCTTGGATACTCCCAGAGCAAGGCTGTTGGTATCAATACAGTAAGGAAGCAAGACAGTTTTTTTTTCCATGGGTTCTCTGTGGAGATTGATGTTTTATATGTAGAGAAATCATTCCTCCCCTCAATTTCTAGATAACTTTGCAAGATAAAGTAATACCATGTATGCAGAGAAACTACCAGGATTAGCAGAAAAGCATTCCTAATGTCTTCTGGAGCGAGGCATTGTGTAAGAAATCCCAACACCTTAAATTTCAGCTGATCAACTTCAGTGAGATTCAGCTCTTTGAATAATTAAAAAAAAAGTGACTGTGCCTTCTATGTTGAAGAAAGTTTTATGATGAAAAATGCAAAGAGAAAAGTGATTATTTTTAGCAACTACTAGTTACTGAACATAGGCAGTGTTAAGGTAGTGACTGGTGAGAGGACAGTTCACCTGACTCACCTCAAAGCACTCACAATAATTATTGAGGCAACCTGAGTGTTTGCAATTACATCCTTTGTTATGGTGAGGTTCAATTTCTCCCAGTATCCTTTTCCCAATTTTTGGTAAGAAAGCTTCTGAGATTCCATCAGGATAGGCCTAAACCAAAAATTTCCAGATTATGAGAGAAATTCAAAGAAATAGTTTTAAACACCTGAATTATAGTGATGCAATGTTTAACAAAAGTGTTCTTACTTTCCACTCTCATTAATCATTGCTATGAAGCCCCTGGACACAAGGAGCCTGCCATGGCACGTGAGAGAAGGAGTTCAAAGATTTGAGAACACTAAGGCAACTTGGCTCCATGCACCATGGGAAGCAACTTACCTTCTTTTTGTGGAATAACCTAAACCATCCATCTACTCTTCTTTTGGGGCTGGTTTACTTTTCCTACTAACGCTACTTTCACCAAAATAAAAATTCTTAGTGAAGAAATAACCTTTGCATACATACTCACATATATCTCAGAATTTTAAAACATCTCTTGTTTTATTAATGGCACAATACACAGACTATTCACTGAAATCAGCATGGGCTTAGAACTGCAGGTTTTCATTGCTTAAGGACATGGTTTATGGTGGACTTGGTAGAGTTAGGTAAGCGGTTGAACTTGATGATCTTAAAGGTCTTTTCCAACCTAAGTGATTCCATGATTCTATAAATTAGGTCCTAAGACCGTGCAATACCATGGACTGCTAAAAGGCAGGTGGAAAAGGTTATATGCCTTTTATGTAGAGCAGTTACAGGTACACTTTCACCAGGGACAAAGAAGATCTATTACAGTCTACAAGGATGCCATCTACAGCAGTGAAAGGAGTGCTTGAACAACAACCACCTCATCAGCTGAACTACAGAGCTGCATCTGACTTGAAAACTAGTTGTTGCACTTTGACAGAAAAAAGTGCTGTAGCTTTGACTGGTGGGATATGGCAAAGCTCTCAGTCTAAATTGAGCAACATCTTGTACAATCCCCAAATTATGTGAAAGATACAATGAAAATTCTGTAGAGATTTACGCAAGAAGCAAAAAGCCATTAATATATCCTTAAAGCATCATCAGTAGAGACTCATTAAACTTTAGAATTTTAAAGCTTTAAAACTTACAAACCATAAAATTCTCACCCACTTTGTGCAGTTTGATATACACACAAAAATTATCCTACATATTGTTCTTTATTTCACTAATAAAGGAGATAATAAAGAAAAGGAAAAAGACTGTATATTTTACTTAAGTTTAAAGGATAAAGCTTCTTTACCTCTTGTTCACTTAGAACCAGTTCACCTGGAACAGGCAAAAACTGCCCCAATACAGCTGTTACAGGGCTGTCCACATCTGAAAAGAAGACATTTACTTGAAAACCGCAGACATACTCACAGTATATCAAATTTAATTTATGCATAAATGTTTTCTAATTAAGCATATAGGCAAATAGGCATCTTCAATTGATTTTGTTAATAAGAAAATATTACCTGAGGCTATCTGTCCTCTGTTAGCATTTTCTCCTACAATTTAGTTTTGAACCCAAACTCACTCTGCAGTGCGCCAAAAGGATGTTTTTACTCTATGACATCAAGTACACTTAAAATCAAATGCCACAGACTTAAAACAATCTGATAAAATAAGAAAAATGTCAGAAACAATTAAATATACTTATCCTGAGTTCTTATTTTACAAATTTCCTGAGTTCTGAGAGAGCATCTGGAACAGAGGTCATTAGCTGATGAAAAAAATTACTAAAAACCCATGGAGAAAACCATAGCTGTAACAGTAAGTCTTTGTGTAAGTCCTGATGAAGAGCTGCATGTGAGTACATAAGCAGCCTTAGTTTATGCAGAAATAAGCAAATATCAGTCACAGTGAGGTTACAAGATGCAGCTTATACCTGTACTTCCTTCCTTCCCATCTATAGAAAGAAGAAAAAATGGAAGCCAAAGGACAGGTTAATTCAAAAGTTGAAGAGATTAGTCCATAGAAACTTTTAGATATAATTTCTGGACCTAATTCTTTTACTTGCTGTGAAGGCGAGTAAAAGGCTTTGGGTTTACATCACCATCAAAATGCACCACTGTAATAAAATTATAATTGCAAATAATCAAACAAACCATGTTAATGTTTTCAAAGAAGATATATTTAAGTAAAGTAATATTTATTTACATTAAACCCAAACTGCACACGGATACTTTGTTGCTGCTCAGAAGAAAATGCGTTACTCTGTCCAAAGAGCAGTCACTTTAGAACCTTGGAAACAGCTTTCTTTAAAATCAGATGGCATTACAAGTTAACCTAATTAAGTAAATATTAGTGAGACATTCTGAATCCCTAGGCTAAAGTACACCCATAGCCCTCAACGCTGCTCTTCATTTATACAGAAACAGTGACTCTCGGTGGCAAGCTAGTGCAAATCCAAATGCATGCAGGTGCTTGTGCTAAATGTGCTTTATATTGAAATTAGTCTGTATTTTAAAAACTTTCAATAAAGTCAATATACTCATTACAACATTCTAACTACACTAAAGCACCCAGACACTTTTCAGTGATAAAGTAAAATAATAAATGGTGATAGCTACATTAGCTTTGGCTCATCTCCCCATGTTGCTGCTTAGGAACATAAACACATGCAACTATATTTTAATAATCTACGATACACCGACAGGTTAGAGAATTTTCATTTTGATGTACCTGATTGAAGGTGATTATGTTGCTTGTGATACTCAGGAATTTGATGAACGGGTTTTAGTTCTTGTGTGTCACAACAGTTTATATAGAGCATTTGAGTACCTCCTTCCAACTGGCAGATAACCTGGGGTGAATAACTAATGATTAGCAGTCATTTAGGAAACTGTAATTTGAAGCATATAAAGGTTTTCATAAGAGTACCACCTGTCTTATAAAGCTTCATAATCACAAACTGGAATCTCTCAAATGGGTCATTATGCATTAAGACATTTGCTTTTTGACCCTTAATTTTCATTTATTTCTGGAAGCAGCTATTGAGATCTAATACAGTAGCTCCTCAGCTGAGGTGATATGGATTCCTGCTCCTCTGAATTGCTCTGTGAGGCTTCGTGGAACACACTCTAGCTATTTACTAGTGTGAGGGCTTTAGATTCCCTTCCCTAAACAGAGCAAGCCATTCCAATTGTTCAAGTTTCATTTATTTAGCTGTGATTTACATCAAGACTTTTCCTTCAGATGATGTATGCTTCACATTGGGTTTTTTTCCCAGCTGCTAAATAGAAAATAATGTCGGTTTTTATATATAAATTAGCACTAACTAGATAAAATTTAGACTGTGAGTCCAAGGAAGGGACTGCCTTATTGTTCTTGTTACAACACTTACCAAGTGGGACTTCTTGATGCTTGTGTGGTACAAATAAGTTAATCTTCTCTAGCATAAAATTTTGCTATCAATTACAGGATATAATTACCACAGGAGTAGAATCATTTCTGTGTGAACATCTGGATTCCTCTGCTACACTGTGCAATGCTAATAACTTGCAGTCAGACTTATCAACATCTGAACTCTGAAAAATTGCTCTGTGTTGGTGTTTCTCGATAACATTATTAATTGCCTCTCTTACCTCAGCCTGAAATATAAAGTTTTAAATCTTAACACACATGTTTTAAAATCTACTTCAAATTCCAGGTAAATACAATAAATTTAAAAAATTAACTGCATAAATGATGTATTTTAAACCAAGGACTGAATTTAAATGTAATACTAAGAATAGATGATTTACTTGCCAATAGCAGAATTATTTATTTCAAGTAAAAATACACATGAAGAATAAAAATGAACAGTAACATTCTTTACAGTAACAATGGCATCCAGTGTCGCCAACGTCATGAAGCACCCATTGATTTCTAAATTACCTTGGAGAATTTAGGCAATATTCACAGCACATTATGCAAAACAGGAATTAATCTTGAATTCAGAATTACTCTTCCATTATTACATGAGTTATATAAATAACTTTACAAGAGATCACCAGGATTTAGCTTAAGTAAGAAGTAGTCATCTGAGACTGGACTGCACATTCAGTTATACTTATCAATCAGATTGCTCCAAAATGAACTTCAGTTACAGTGATCAACTACTGTCTGTCATGGCAATTCCATCATAGGTGTGATGCCACTTGTATTTGTTGAAAACCAATTTACCACCTATCTTGCTGATCCATTAACTTCTTACAGTGTCACCTTCACAAAAGTCACACTGCCAAATGAAGCCTTGTTTCTCAGTACATGCTTTAAAACACCACAGAGACAATCTTGAAAAACCTAGCTACAAAATTTCAGTAGTTTTCAGAAATCTGCCTTTCATAAAATAGCTGTATTTCTACAGGTTGTCTTGTACATATTTAGGAAAATATATTTGAAAAATTCAAGCATTTTAAGAGAATAATTAAGTTACAAAGAAAAGCTCTCCATAGGCAGGGAATGCTAATGTTAAATAAAGCATCTTTTTATATAAATATATAAAAGTCCCAACTGGGCACTTTGTGTTCAGGTGGCCTTAGGAGAAGCTCCATCCCTAACTGAACCTGAACATGCAAGTGCCAGACAGAACCCAACTAGACCTGAGCCAACAGGAAGAGAAACAGGCGAAAAATCCAGATACTATTCTTCCTTCCTCCACAATGCAGCAGTGTAGGAAACCTACTGAGCAACATTTTTCTTTCCCTCTCTTTTGTGAATAGATCTGATAGGACAGTGCTTGAAAGAACCTTTTACCCTCTGGCACTTAGAATAAATTCAGTTTTAGACATTTAGCACTTGAACAGACTTTTCCAATAATAATAATAATAAAGTCTTGCACACATACTTACTATTTCATCATAGACAGAAGCATCAGTCTGAGGTAAACCACAGGTATCACTGGAAGATTCTAGTACACAAAATAAAGCATGTTTTATTTACAAATGATAAGAGTTTTATACCAAGAACACCTTTACAGCATTAATAAGAGAGGTTTTGATGTTGCTATAGCATTATATTTTTGTGAAAGAAATATTTAATACTCTTTTGTAACAGGCTTGCTGGGAAAAATAAACATTCTGATGTCTTTCAAAGGTTTACTGTGCATATTTGGTAAAATTCACTTTGCTCCAGAATTAAAAACCTTGTAAGATCAAATCTAGCAGTCAGTTTAACCCTGAGCAGGATTGTGAACAGGTTATTGGCAGAACACATCAAACAACAGCTCACAAGCTTACTGTCATTAACAGTGTTAGTGCAAGCCACCTACCTTTCATAGCTGAGGATTAAACTTCCAAGTGAAGCATGGTTCAACTCAGTAACAAACAATAAAAAAATGCTGCAAGGAGGAATATCTTTTTCAGAGCCCCCTGAAAGAACAGGGAGGTGGTATGACAGGAAGTGAAAAACCAAAATCAAGACTGAGCTATACGGCTGAAGAAACATAAACATCCATGAACAGTGGTCCATCCTCCTTTCAAAAATTCTTAGTTATATTAACATAATCAGAAAAGGCTCATACTGCAACTTGCCAAATCCAGAAATTCATTTATTTAGCTATTTAAATCATTCCCTAAACTTACAAAAGTAGGGAAAAAAAAAAAAAAAATTAAAACCCCCCCCTCAGTCACTTGGGTCACTTACATTTAAGCAGTTGGTCAAGTTTTAGAATTGCATAGAATTGTTTTGGATTCCTTTAAACTGATGATAACAAATGCATTTATTCTCACCTGCAACTGGAGGTATGAACGAGCTGAATGCCTGAAGAACAGAATGTTTTTTATAAATATTTTATGCATTTAATGATTCATTTTTAAAAAGTCAAATAAACAAAAAATTTACTTAAGTGACCTTGAAAATTATTTACATTTTCATGACAATTAAGCACATATATGCTGTGGCCTATTCAGCATTACCAGATGCCATTACATACCTTGAATAATATTTCTGCTTTTCCTACTCAACACATAGTTATGGTTCAGATCTACATTTACAACTACAGTGGCATATTACTTAATACCTACATTTGTATTTTCAAAGACTTATTATTTATTGTATGTTTTTAGTAAATATTTTATAATTGTGATTTTATTTTTATTACAATATTTTCAAATATTGCCCGGAATAATCTTAATACGGCAATTCCCCACACTTAAGTCACAAATAAGCAGCAAAAATTCCTATTTCAATTAATCTTACTGGTATCATTCTGACATTTTGATTGGCTGTTTCTTCTGGAAAGAAAATGCTTGAAGTTGGAACACTGCAATTTTCATGCTGCATTGCTACAGAAGAAAGAAAGTGGACACCATTTGAAGGCAGACAAGGTGAATGCCTATGTGTAGCTTCTTCTGGAAGATTTAATTCCTTGTATTTTTCAAGATCTTCATCACCACAGCTGTTGTTTCCAGATGGATGCACTTCAACTTTTACTATTGTTTTTTGATTTTCAATGGTAAGTGGATACTTGAAGTGATCTAACAAAGTCTCTCCCACATTTACAGTGCATAAATGATTGTCTTGACTAGAGAGCAGTCCTTCTTCAATGGGATCATTAATCACTGCAATTTCTAGATCAACGTTTTCAGCACTAACAGGACTATTTTGACTAAATATTTCAGTGAGAAGTCCACTGTCTATTAAAGATCTTGTATCAGGCAATATCTGGTTCTCCATAGACATGGACAGACTGTCAGCTGGTTCATTTTTTTTTTCACTGAAGATAACTACATTTTCTATTTCAGTATTCTTCTGAATAGTTTTTCTATCTAGGAGTGAACAAAATAATGTTAATGAAACTACACGTATACATAATACTAAAGATTTAAATTTCACAGTTACATGTTAATTGGGTTAAAACACAGTGCTGGAAGAGGTGGTTTGGGTTCTGAATCTAGCTTGTAGAAAACACAGGCCACCATACCCACACGAACAAGCTGCTTTTACCATAAGGACAAGTTTTTGCAACTTTTAAACACGTTGACAGCATCCAAACTTAAATCATAGTTTTACTACTTGGCTTTAGTAGTAAAAAAAAAAAAATCTAATTTGACATCATACACTTAGCTCTGCCTACAGTGGTTACAGTGTGTCAGTAAGTTGGACACCAGACACGCCTTACCTGTACTCTCCATGTCGCTGTTGCCAGTTAAAGGACCTCCACCTCAACCCAGAGTATCACAAGGCCACCCTTAAAAAGACACGGGCCGAGGTCCACCTGCGCTGCCATCGCTCATGTTTCTGGGTTTAGGCTAAGGCATTACAGGGCGGGCTGAGCTACCTCTGTCGCCCTGACTGGACTGGGATATGGCAGCACCCTGAAAGCTCAAGTCTCTCTGACCCACAGGCATCAACCTCCACAGCTCAGTGACACGGGAGAGGGGATACAAGCCCTGCCCAGAGCTCCCTCCGTCTGCCCTCAACGGCTCCCAGGGCAGAGGTACGCAGGACAGGCCCCACGCTGGGGCCCTGCAGAGGGCCTGTTTCTGCCCCCACCCCATGCACTTTCCCTTCCCCAACAGCCACCACCCAGCTGTTAACAGAGGCCTGCCCCTCACTGGAATGGGGGGAATGTCTGGTTTGTTTGGCTTTTAAAGAGTAATTTCCCTGTAGAAATGAGCTTATGTTAAAAGGTGGCAATTAAGCAGGACCCTGGTACTGAGTGAGCAGCTCTCTGTTCTAATCCATGCCTGGAGTACTGGGTCTAGTTCCAAGCACTCCAGTATAAGAACACGGACATACTGGTCAGGGCTGTGAAAATGACTAAGGGATTAGAGCATCTCCTATGTGGAAAGGGGGAGTGAGCAGAGACTGTTTAGCCTGGAGATAGGAAGTGGAAGGGTGGATGTAAAGATGGAGCCGGGCTCTCTTCCTTTTGACAGGACAAGAGGCAATGGGCACCAACCAAAACAAAGGAATTTCCCTCTGAGCATCAGGAAACACTTTTTCACCCTGCAAGTGACTCAGCACTTGCACAGGTTGCCCAGGGAGGTCATGGAGTCTCCATCCTTAGAGACAGTCAAAAAACCATCTGAACATGGTCCTGGGCAACCATCTGGCTGCATCAGACTACCTCCAGAGCTCCCTTCCAGCCTCAACCATTCTTTAATTTGGTGAAGTATGGCTTCTAGCTTCTGCTCTCAGAGCCCTTTCTACAACTCACCATGTAAACCTTGGAATTATCATCCCAATGCCTTAAAGATTTCAGAGGTTTGGAGTGTTTTCTACACTATGAAGATACTACCTATGGCCATTTAAGATTCATTTTCTGCTTTCAGGGAAAGCTTTATCTGAATTTTTAATTTTCTATGTATCTCTTAATTTTTAGGGAATTTTGTGTTTAAAAAAAAAAAGCAACCACAGCAACTAAAACCCACCCAAAACAATTCATCCATAAGGTGCCACACAACTAATCCAAGAAGAAACCAGGATCAATTTTTCCTTATGCTTTTCACTACAAACTTCTACCCCACCAGCCCTGGATATGCTATCATTAAGTTTGGAAAAAACAGAACAAAACCACCATGCTTCCCCACCCCCCATCTAACAGTGAAGTTTTTTACTCTAGTACTTCCCAACAGGAGTTCATAATTCTCAGCCAGAGCTGATTAATCCTATGCACCATTTACAATTTCAGGACCATTTTTGAAGACAGTACTTACACTTGCCACCTTTAAAAGCAGGCAAAGGGAAGGTGGAGGGGAACATGACCCAATAAGCAAATTAATCAGTACTTTCGGTGCCTAGAAAGTTTCCATACCACCTTTCTGTTCAGACTGAACACAGATCAGTTTACAACTTCAGTATCCAACCCTGTTTTGAAATAAACCCAGGAACTAACAGTATCTAACAGATGAAGTGTGAGGTTGAAATCACTGTGTTCCTTTCATGTAGCAAAAACTGCAACACAGAATCATAGAATCATTGACATCTGGAAATACAGGTAGCAAAATGACTGTGAAAGAGGTGTATTGCACAATTATTTGGGAGGGTTGCATGTGGGTTTGTTGGTTTGCACATGTGTTTTTTTTTTTAATTAATCAGCAATTCAAGAAAACAGAACGTGAACCTTTAAAGGGTAAAAAATAATTCTCTTCTTTCCACTGTATAAAGTAATCCCCATTTTTTAATGTAACTTCAAAGGAGTTTTCAGGTGCTGGGAATCTTCAGATAAAGCAAATAGCATTTTAGCAATTTTGACTTTCTGTGCCTGAACTAGGTTTCCACTGCCTTACTATTCATATTTTATGGATTACTGAGTATAAAGACCAAACCAGTGCTACCCACTAGCTTGGAAACAGACTGTTTCTCAGAAACACTCCAGGAGTTATGTGGCTCTCATGAGAAAAAGCTCATCTAAAATAAGTTCTATGTTGTCTCTTTCTACTGAACCTGCAAAAGAAAAATTGTTCATTAACCTAGTCCTTATTATCTAGCAATACATGTATAAATCACTGCTAAAATAGATGGAATAGTCTGCTATTACCCTTCATAACTGAATTTATATAGCAATGATTCCACAAATCCAGAAACAGCAGCAAGGGAGCTGGAAAGAAGATTAAAAAAAAATTTTAAACATTGTATCAAGTAGTGGTAATTGTGAAATTTTATTTTATTTTTTGAAGTCACAGAAGAGGGTATAAAATAGAGCCAAAGTGTTGGAAGTAAATAATCAACCATGGATGTAGAGTAATTGAACAAGATAAGAAAAGCTAGCTTAAATTAATGTATTTTATATGAGAAAACAATTGGTACAAAGGCTGAATTAGAATCATGATTTCCAAGGTTGGGTACATACTTTCTTAGTCCCTCAAAAACCCCAATGCTTAAAAGAATACTTGGTTTGGAATGGTGTTAATTCTGGACAAAGACACCCTCTACGTGCACTTAGTGCTTTCCTAATTTCAGGCATGAAATAATTGAAAAAAGAAAATTGGAAAATGCACATTTGAAGTATTCCACAATTCCACATTGCTATTTAAGAAACAGGTCAATTTATCACCATCCAACCTGCCTTTTAACACCTACTCAAACCTAACTTTGAGCTCTTAAATCACTAACTGAGAAAAAGCGATTTGAGATTTTAGTAGCAAAGTAATAGTTTTTCTGCAATACAAATGTTTTACATTATAATGAAGTATACTGTACTAGAAGTTTCATTCAAATCTAGGCAGTTTCAGTTACTTTCCTATGGCTTTTGAGCAAAAAAAGCAAGCAGTTTTACTCTATGTACACAATATTGAATGTCACAATTTAAATTATTTATTAATAACCTACATTCACTGTGGATTTCTAAGATTTACATTCCAAAAGCATATTTTATTTACATGTTGTTGACATTTTAAAGAAGATGAATAAAACCTTGTTTATGATCTATCCCAAATTAAAAAAGATACATTTAACAAAAAAATGTTTAAAACATTTACAATAATAAACCAGCTTTCTGTGCCAGTTATATTTACTCTCTAAGAATGTAAAATTGCATTGATAACTGCACTAACCACAATTAGACTTGCAACATTTAAAACCTGAGCATCAAATCTAACATCTTGTTTCTGATGAAAATAAATCCTACAAGCAAATATGCCCTAATGTGAGTTTAAGCAAAGACTGGTCAGCGGTCAATAAAAAAAACCCAGTGCATTATTTGTGAAGCTCCCAAAGAATACATCACTATGAAATTGTTGCAGTGGTTTGATAAATGCCAGGCCTGACAGCTGCAGCAAGGCTCATTTCAAAGTGTCCCTTCCCACACACTGCACCCTAACCAAATAACGAGTGACTCTGGCCCGTTCCTGTGAGGGTTCCTACCTTTAGGTAAGCATGCATTTGCTAAAGTATGCAACTGGGATCTTTGAGGTTTCCCACCTCAGACACACAAATATAGGTGTTTTAGTAGCTAGTTTAGAGTAAAAAAAAAAAAAAAAAAACAAAACCCACAAAAAAACCCCAGACCACCCACAAAACAACGAGAAAACCATGAAGACTCATAGAAAGTTAGACATACTGGCCAGAAAACATTTGAAGTCTAATGAGAAGTTTTATATCAACCTCAAAGGTCTTTTAGAATGAGAACACCTCTGGAGTAGCAATTACTCTATTAATAAACACCATGGGTGCTACATTTAAAAAATAATATTTTAAAAATTGTGCTAACAGGTACACTTTAATGGGTGTAAAGGTAAACATATCAATAAAGCCTTGGGAAGAGCAGCACTGCACACAAAGTTACTCATTTTGTAGTACCCATACTATTTCTGCACTTGGAAACATTATGCTCCCTTCTGAGTGAAATGGCTTTCCTCTCCCTCCTTGTATCCTTCAGAAGCTATACCCAGCCTAAAGCATCTCCCAGGAGGAGTTTGAGAAGGCCAGGATTTTCCCATTCTGGAGCAGTTTTCCACAGCTTTAAGAGTTTGCCCTTTTCATGCAGACTGCTGGCTGCGTAGCAGCGCTCTTTGCTGAAGCAGGCAAACTGTAACCCATCCACCTCCACAGGCAGCCTCGCTCCACAGACTATCCAGCAGGTTGCATTTAACTGAATTGACTTCCCCTGGGAGTCAAAGTCTTATGACCACAGATACCATTCATCAAAATAGACACACTAGTATCTACAGCTCTGAAACAAAGTCACTGCCACATTTCAAAGGGGCTTTTCTTACAGCTTTAAACCAAGTTGCACCATATGGCAACATACTCAGGTCTATTTATGGCATGTCAACCTAACTTATCATTTGAACACTAGATTTGCACTGCTACTACTTCACCTCCTTCACCACTAAGACGATGTAAATCCAGCTCCCAGCATAAGCTTTTTTCTTGGGTTTAGGCTCTTTTTCAAAGGCACTCACATGAATAAGCACAATTTTTTGACACAGAAATAGAAGTCAAGGATGTGGCAAATGTGCTGCTAAGTAATAAGAAAAAAAAAAAAATGTTATACCTACTAATTAGGTGACACATTTTAACTACCCCAATGTAGCACTACTCAATGTGTTTTTTCCAACCCCCTAAAAATTTCTACAACTTAGTATGTTATGGTGAGTTATACCAGGGACTGATTTTGTTTGTTTTACAGATATTACCTTTGAAAAACAAACAAAAAACACTGACAAAATGAATGGCAAAACTTGTAGCTGTTGACCTTCATTGACATACAGCAGCAGACACACTGAAGATAATTCTGCTATTAATACATAGCAAATTCAACTTTTTCTAGTATTTGAGTTCAAGATGGTGTATTCTATCCCTTTGATTCTGGAATACAAATAGACTAATTTTAATTTTAAAAAGATCAAGTGTATACAGAGTAAGAGAAAACTGCAGGAGTTAGCATATACATGACTTCATGCAATGATACCATTCCCTAGAAACACACAGGATTTCAAAAGTCATCCTTTGTGGAAATAAACTCTTCCAAACCACTTAAAATAAATCACAAACAAACAAAAAAACCCCATAGCAACATTCAATATACTGCTAAGGTTTTCCAAAGTGATCGAGAAGATGTTGACTGTTTCTTCACCAGCTACTGTTTGGCAAACCTTGCTCTCCATCATTCACTGTGCAGAAGAGTTCTCATTCCAACAATAGGAGATTGCTTGGTATCAGTAAGGCAAATCATTTGGTATTTGTACTAAGGTTAAATAAACCCATGATGTCAACCATTGCTTTTTGGATGTTTTTTCCAAAACGATGAGAATCCTTTAAAGACAAAAAACAAAACCAGGCTTGTACTGTCAACCAACAGGTTTTTTTTAGGCAAAAGAAAGAAACTTTTAACATTTTGTCATTTTGGAGCTTACAGAATTAGACCATGTATTTTCCCATAAAATGGGGAACTTAACCACAAAAAGTTTAATGCTGTACAAATTCATCCAGTTTCATGCTTTACTGAATGAGTTTTTCATTATGAATTTACTGCCCTTCAGACAGAACTGAGATCATGTCCTTCTGCAATCAGATGCACTTATAGCTTTCTGTTACTTTGAAATAGCTGGGGCTCGGTAATATTTTATTATACAAGATTTTGCAGAAGCTATTTTCAGAAAATGAAAACATGTTCAGGAAGTGCATGACTAATGACTTAGCAGTACTCAAAGTGCAGAAATGCATCTTATATTTGGGTTCCTATCTGAATTGAAAAATTACACAAAGTATTGAAAATGAAAAATCACAATTACCTAAGTGTAAACGAACTATCAACTTGTTCTGTTTATTGGTGTGAGGAAGAATTAAGATTACAAATATAAATTATTAGTTACACTACAGGACCTACTGCAAGGACCCTAGTAATATCAAGGCCACGCACATGAAATGCTGCCTTTTTTGCATGGACTTTTGACCTGACTAATAAGTAAAAAATACAGGGAATTTTAAAGTACAAGCTAACAGGCATCTGAAGAACAATCTGAACTATGAAAAAAACAATTTGTATTTCCTAATCTTTAATGATTAACACAAAGGCACCAAGATCTCTCGGACAAGTTAAGGTCAAAAGACAATAACAGTTCAGCTATACAATCCTAAGCAAACTCAACATGTTTATTAAAGTCAAAAAATCTAAAGGGGAAGGATTAGGGTTGAAAGCTCACTCAAAGGAGGCCTCCACAACAGCAAGATATTAATAGATGATATCTACTACATTCTAGTAATGGATATTATTCTAATAATTTTTTCATTAATCATGTTTCTCAAGCACAGGTGACAACTTACGAGCAAGCTTCTTTCAGTACTATTTAAACCAAGAACATGTAAAGAATAGGGAGCATACATTTTATTCTGTCTTTACAACTGCAACCAGAGACAAATCAAAGCAAAACTGTAATAACAGAAAACAGAAGACACCTATCTTACTGTTCATGGGATAGCTATGAGTAATTTTAAATGAGTTCCAGGGCACTACACACATGTAAAGATAACCTTCAGCCCCTCGCTTTTTTTACGCTTGAAAGCATAAATGAAATAAAATATGGTTTCTTAGTTCATAAAGCTATCAAATTTATAGAAGTGGAGACAAAAAAAACAGACACCAACAAAGCAGCCTATGCTAACAAAAAAAAGACATGGTAATTGTATGTTGCCAGTCCTACTAATTTTTTTTTTTTTTTTTCAGACAATGAGTAAAACAGTTTTGTAGGCAGTTATCAGAATAGATATACTAACCCACTGGGAAGGACTAACTCTTACCGTCTCAGAACACGATATTTTGCTGGAGACATGGAAATGGATAGAATTTTCACCCAAGATAATATATGAAACACCATAACCATCATCAGCCACCTATGAGAAGAAAGATGAGAAAGCAAAGTTCTAAACATTTTCTTTTTCCTTCCGTTCCTAAATTATCTTATAGTTACACTGGTTTTACTGTGCAGTTTTAAAAATCACTTGCAATTTCCTCCTCAAGCAAATATTAAGATTCCACACTTAATTTTTGAAGATTGATTCCACGTAAAGGAAACAGTTCAAGGCTCATCAGAAATATATGGAATTAATATTCTGAATGCATGTCCATAATATTTCCCAGCTTTAGTATTCTGAAATAGAATACTCGTTCAAAGACCTGAACAAAGACTCGTTCAAAGACTGATAGGACAAGATATAGTCCTAAGCATCTATATAGCTTCAGTACTTAAATAGAAAGGCATAAAATAGTTCAACTGGATACGTAAACATCCTGTTTCATGGTATCACACTATAGATGTAAAGAAATACAGTATATAAATATGGAGTATACAAGCCTTGTATTATGAAAACTTACCCAAAGGCAAAGTCACCTGCCTCTAGGCAAAGACAGGACTCTGAGCACCCATATCACGAGTAGAGCTGGTCCCATTTCAACATTAGCAGTGTTAACTGTTCCAGGTTTCAGTCTGGTGTTATATCTAAGATATGCCTAGTGAACACCAACTGCCACCCTTCTTCCTCTCTTTCTGAACTCCAAGGATCACAATATTAAAGCTTTTAGCTGCCACTGCTACTAAGCAGCCTGATAGTCTCCTCTGTTAGTACTACAGGGCTATATATTCTACAGAACTCTTTAAAAAACCACCAAACCAACGAAACACATACAGGTGGAAAGCTTGATAAACTGAATCTCTGGGCTACTTCAGCAAACCAAAGCACAGTTTAAGGATACAAGAAATGATGAAGGGAAACCTAAGCAGGGTTATTTGGAAAGGCAGACAACTGAAGGAGGGAAATTAAAGAAATGAAGAAACAGTAAGAAGGGAGCAGGTAATGTAAAATTAGCAAAAACAAAAGGAAAAAAGTGTTAGAAATTCCTGCAGCCAAAAGCTTGTTTTAATACCATACCACACCTTTTCGGGGGTTCTAAATAGTGACTTTATGATCTGCTGGAACAAGCCAGTTTCTCATGAATGAGCAGCACTGCAATAGCTAGGTTTAATACTGCAATTTAAACTCATTACAACTTCAAGAACTGCTGAAAGCAGAAACTTCAATTAACAATAAAATAAAACCCCACTAGAAAAAAAAAAAAACACACAAAAAACCCACCCAGAAAAAAAATACCTTTCAGTCTGACAAATCAGCCAAAATACACAGTACCTGTCACCCTAATTTCTGTGTGGCAGAGTAGTCCTGTGATCCCTCTCATTGTTCTTTCAATAGAAGTGCTTTTTGAAAACAGATTAATCTAGTCTATAGTTCCCTGAAGTTTACTTAGCAGACCTTGTTAACAACATCATCATCAATGGCCACATTCAAATCCCAGTAAAATACTACAGCAAGCCAAAAGACTGTAAAGTCTCTAATGATACACTAATTTCCTGACAGTTTACAGAAATTGTAGAACATGTTTTTATTATTGACTTAGCCACCACTCACACTTGAGAAGGCAAGCAGAACAATGCGAGTAGCTTAATTTGGAGGAAAGCATGAACAGAGTTTTTACATAACCAGGAAATATAAAGAGCAAGTCAAGTATAATTACTTTTCAAATCCCAACCTGAAGTGCTAGGGTTAAACCCCCAGCCCTGAATGAGGATTGGCATATAGACCGCTTCCACAACCAGGCAAGACAGACTCTCCTGATTGGTTTTCACCCAAGGTCTGGCCAGCCTTGGGTGGGAACTGACTAGGAGATCACCACCAGGTGTCCCTGCCTTCCACAGTAAGTTGGAGGCAGGGCAAGCAGCCACATATGTAAGAACTGACTCTGCTTGCAGTTGGAGTTGGGAGGCCCACCTACACAGTGGATGTGTTGTGCAAGCATTCTGGTTATCAAAAGAACTCCCTGACTCTTCATAGCAAGTGGAGTTCCCAGGATGGCGGGGCAAGACCATGAGTCTCTCTCTGGGAAACTACTGCAGAACTGGACTCATCGTCTGGCTGATTCCATCTCTCATGGCATGGTTTCTGAGTCAGCTCACTCCCTTCTTCACACAAAATGCTGTGAGTGAATGCATTGACTTGTTCCTCCTCCAGTTGCCCCGCACTTTGGATCTCTGGTGTATGAGATAAGGTAGCAGAGGGTGGAGTTTGGCTGCTGAACTGCCCATTAATGATAATATAATTCTATATCAGGCAAGCAGCCAGCAGAAGACCACCTTAAAATCTACTTTAAGTCATTCGACACTGTAATATAGAAGCCCTGGGCACAGGTAACGTGATAAAAGCTCTCACTTTATCAGATCTCTGTGCCATGGAGCCCTGTACCACGTTTGATACATGTACATTTCCTTCAGAATAATCCGTTCTTGTAGTGGGACATGAGAAAAAGGTGATGCAGATTTTTCTGAGCCACGCACACAACACAGGAAAGCATTAAACACATGCCATTTTAGAAGCATGAGTTTAAACTTGCCCATTAAAGGTGCAAGTATTATAGATCTGAAATATTTAGACTGGTATATTCAAAATAAAACTTTAAGGAGTACTTGTAATTAGCAAACATACTGGTCCAAATCCACCGCCACAGGATAACATCTCTGGGTTCTTCTTTAGATCTATGTGTTGCTGCGGTGTTTGACTCGTTGACAGTCTCCAAGGCTCTGACAAAACCTTTATTAGGTATGAAACAGATGCAAACAAGTGTAACGCTGTTTAAGAACACACAACTTTCTCAAAACTAGTGAAGATAAGTTAGAAAGCACTCAATAAAGCCATATTAAGGATAACTCCAGTTCCCATCTCAATGGAATGAACAAATAAGGTTAAAAAAACCAGCTAAACTTGTCCTAAAATGCAAAACATTAACATATGAAGTTGTAACGTCAATTGCTGAAAGATAAGAAAAGTTCTTTCTGTAAAAATGCTATTTCAAAACAGATTAATCTCATCTATTGCCTGGTAAATTAACAGCCATATTCAAATCCCAGTAAAACACTGCATCAAGTTAGAAACTTGTAAAATCTCTAACAATACGCACGTATCTTGAAACTCTGCAGAAGCTGTAGAAAATGGTTCTATTCTTGACTTAGTCACTACTCACATTAAGGAGGGCAAACAAATGTGAGTTGCTTCCTTTGGAGGCAAGCACGAACATGTTTTTTATTAATCGGGAAAACATGAACAAGTGCAATACAATTACTTTTATAAAACCCAACCTTAAAATCCAATTTAAGTAAGAGCAGCATTTGTCATAGTAGTAAACAGTGACACTAATGTTGTGCATTAAAAAAAATAAATTGCAATATATAGCTCCTCTAACTCATGGTAATTTAAAAGAGATTTTGTCACCGTTGCAAGAGAACAGAGAGAAAACAGCCTCTATTGTGGTGTCTTGAACACATGTGAAACCCACAAATAACCTTTTTATTAGTAATACTGATTATAACTTTCTTGCAGTCCTTAATGACACATTATACTACAAAGCTATCAGAAAGAATCACTTTAGGTTTGTTAATAAGCATATACATAAAGCAAAACGAAACTTGTAATCTAGCAGGTGTTAAGCAATGCTAAACTCTTACCTTTTTTCAGAGGAAAAACAGTTCTACAGGTATGTAAGGATTATGTACTGTAATTAACAGTTATCAATAACAGTCACTTACTTCCTTAAGGAAAGGAGAATCTACAGCAAGGTACTTGGACACAACATAAAGGCAGAAGAGATGGCGGTCAATGCCAGCACCAGTCATGGCGAGCCGATATAAGTGCTGATGTTTGGTAGCAGCAAGCCGGAAGAACTTCAGCTTATTTTCATTCTGGCATTTAAAAAATATGAAGAAAAATCAGTCAAGTGAGCTGGTTTGGAGACAGAGGTACAGAAACTAAGTAACAGCAATGGCTTTGAAGCCTACAGCACTTAAGGGTCAAGTACAAGACAACACATACAACTAACACCACACAGTAGTACCCTCTAGCTTTTCAACCTTGTGTATTCAATTTCAGGTGGTAGCAAGAGTCAACTCTTTACTTGTTGTAAACAGCACATAATGAAAACAATTGTATTTTATATGTAATCTAACCCCTTCTCTTCAAGAATGCAGGAGCAGGCAATTCCAAAGTGTTGGAAGTCAGCAAAAAGGGCTCCTCACAAGCAGGGGTGAAGACAAAGCAGAGATGTTCAATGACTCCTTCACTTCCGTCCTTAACACCGACGATGGACCCTGTGTTGGAAGATGTGACTGTGGAGATAAACTCCCAGCAGATCTGAACTTGTTCAAGACTTGCTGCTCCAGAGAGTGACACAAGTCTATGGGGCTTGGGTGGGATTCATCCCAAGGTGCTAAAAGATATGGTCAATGTTATTTTTCAGTGGTCTTGAGAATCTGGAAAGGTCCCAGTCAACTGTCATCCCAATTTTCAAGAAAGGTAAGAAGGAAGACCCTGGTAACTACAGGCCTGTCAGTCTCAATTCACTGCCTGATAAAATAATGCAGCCATTCTGGGAGTTACTGAAAAACAATTGAGAGACAATGTAGTCATTGGTCACACTCAACAAGGTTAATGAGGGGAAAAGTCCTGTTTAACTTAATTTCCTTTTATGACAAGGTCACCCATTTACTTGGCCAATGTAAGCCAGCAAGCTTTTTTTTTAATTTTAGCAAAGATTTTGATAACCGTATCTCACTTTATCTTTTTGGACAGTGTTCAGCACACAGCTAGACAAGTCCATAAGACCTCACCACAGTCTACAACTTCCTCAAGAGAGGCTGTGAAGGGGTAGATGCTGATTTCTCTCTAGACACCAGTGATAGTACACAAGGACATGGAATGAAGCTGTGTTACAGAAGGTTCAGACTGGACATAAAAAAAAGGTTCTTCACTGAGAGGATTGTCAGTTGCTGGAGTAAGCTCCCCAGGGTAGTGGTCAGAACGCCAAGCCTGTTTGACTTCAAGGACAGTCTGGACAAAGCTCTTAGTCATATGGTTTAGTTTTAGGTAGTCTTGTGGGGAGCAGGGAGTTGGATTCAATGATCCTTATGGCTACCTTCCAACTCCAAATATCCTGTGATTCTATGAACACTGTATGAACGTGTTGGAAGGGCTGAAAAAGTGTCTCAAATCACGTGATTTGATGTCTGTTCTGTCGAGATTGTAATGTGGAATCCAATGTATGGCATATGGCAACCTGTCATTTATCTCCAGCATCATTGCATTTTATACCATTTACTTGAGACACTAAGCAGCCAATTTGCCTCCAGCATGAGATAATAATAAAACACTTGTCATGCTGTGCATGCCTGCCATTAGCATTCATGAGTAAAGCTCTGTGGTAGTCCACAGAGGATACAAGTGCTTAGGAATAAATCTAAGGAATATCCCAAAGAAGAAGCAAGCAGTAAAGGCAGACAACTCTTTTAAAAATCATATATAAGCGCATATAATTTTCATAACACATACAAACTAAAAATAGTATTATAAAGGCAGGGTTCCTCTGCTATGTCTGATTACTCCAGATCAAGGACAGTAATGAATCAAGTCTGAAAAAGAATGTTTGTAGTAATCATTAAAAAAAAAAAGTGAGCAAAATGAAGTCTGCAATACACACATATATGATCTTGTCATGGTTGCGTCTACCTTGTTCCTTTAATAAAAATGCAGATGTTAACTGCAGAGGTGTAATAGAAGCTAATTCTGACATTAGGACTCTCTCAAAATTACTTTCTATACATAGGGTACTTGTACAGCACCTGTGCCATACAGTTCTGTATGACATGTTGACATGGCTGGATCTCCAGACTTACATTGCTCTGGTCACAGCTCACAGTACAGCATATTGAGAAATCTGGGGGAATGTTACCCATCTAGAACTTCCAGAAAGAAGAGGGACAAAAAAAAAAAAAAGAAAGTTTCTCTCTTTCTCTGTGTATCTAGTTTCTTCCAGTAACATTTATTCATACAATCATGGAGTTCTTCCTTTCTAAAAAAGAAGAACATCACCTGTTCATCCTCTTAGACTTCTCTGCCCTAAGATGTGGTAAATAAAACTCTTGCCTGAAGGACCATTATGTAACTTAGTTTTAAAGACTTTCTAAGCAAAAAAACAACCTCCCCAAGTAATCTGTTTTGGATTTCTCACTATTTCCCTCTTTACTCGCTATCCTTACTAGCAGAAAATGTTTCCCTAATGTGCTTTTTTTTTTTTCTGATATTTAAGTCCACAGATTGTTCTCATCACCTCTGCATCAGCCTTTTTATCCTCTTGAGCACAACCTAGCTCCCTACCTCTTCCACACAGTTCTCTCTTCTTTAGATTAGGCATAAGTAAGTTCAGACTCTCCTAACAGATCCTCTTGAGAGGTTTTTAACCATCCTTCTTGCTCTCCTTTAGAATCTCTCCAATCCATATCTCAGTTGAGATGTCCAAAACCAGACACCACCTCAGCTAATGCTGTACCAGGAAAAAAGTGCAGAGACAAAACACTACTAAAAATAAAGGGCAAGACCAACTAAAGTGAGGTCTCCATTTTTCCCAGTAGCATAGCACTGAATGTTATTGATTATAGTCCTAGATCTAGGACTTCTACCCATGCAGCTGCTACTCAGGCCTGGATACAATATCTTGAGTACATCCCTATTTAACAAAATCCTCTTTCAGGTAGAATTTTTGACTCTTAAAGAACTGCAAATCCCCTTCATCTTAGCAAAACCTGCAAATGTAATGATTTATTTCATCAGCTGTATCTGTGAAAGCTGTGACTAGCAGTGGATTAAAGAACAGATAACCCTCAAGACAACCATCCTCATCCCTCCATTCTGACAGCAAACATTTTAACCAGTATCGTTGAGGCTTTTCAAACCACGATGTTTTCCCTTAGACCATGCTTCCTTTGATGGCTAAGCAGAACTTCACAAGAAAGATTTAAAAGCTCACTGAAATCAACATATAATAGGAAGTACTCATTTCCTGTGAATAATACTTGGTGTAAGATTACTTGTTTTACAAATCTAACTTTTGCAAGTCACGAAAATATCACAAGTCTTCTCAGTTTTCTGGAACTCAGTTCAGGAACTGTAAGAAATGTCATATTTTAATAAGTTACTGCCATTCGCTTTTGGCGTAGCCTTAAATTTCTGCCATATTGACAGAAAATGTGGACAATTAACTTATCCTGCACTTTCTTCCTAAAAAAACAAAGGCACCACTCTAAGTGTTTAAAAACTATTTGGGAACTTCTATAGATATCTAGTGATAATTCATGTGCCTTATCAATTGTATAGAAATTATGGAAATACATGTATATTCATAATTGTATTTATCCCAATATTATTATTGCACATTTAGGATACTGTGCATATGGATTTGGTTTTATTGTTTGGATATTTTTTATACTCTGTTCTTTCACATCTTATGTACAACACAGGGTTCTCAGACTAAAATGAAGAAGCAATGGACTACACAGTGCAGCAGCTCTCAAAGGCAAAATTTAAATAATTTAGAGAAAAGGGCAAGTTATTTGTTTTCTCTGCTATACTTACACTTCTAATAATAATTCAGAAAAGCTGAACCTTTAAAACACTTTTACAGATATTTATTTGTGCCTCAATCATCTAACCACAAAACAGTTAAATATCTATGTTTGTTTTTTTTTTTTTTTTCTGCTGACACCCAGTTGTCTGACTTCTCATTGCCTTCCATACCAAGGGAAAACAATTCAGTTGAACTCTTCTTGAAGAAAGCAAACAAATCAAAATCAAACCACAACAAAATTTACTGTAGAGAGATCTGGGGCTATTAACCTGTAGAAGAGAAGGCTGAGAAGGGATCTTATCAATGCTTATGAATATATGAAGGGTGGGTGTCATGAGGATGGGGCCAGTCTCTTTCCAGCAACAGGACAAGGGGCAATGAGCACAAACTGGAACATATGAAGTTCCACCTCAACATCAGGAAAAACTTCCTTACTGCGAGGGTGACAGAGCACTGGAACAGGCTGGCCAGAGGGGTTATGGAGGCTCCTTCTCTGGAGACTTTCAAAACCCACCTGGACACATTCCTGTGTGACCTGCCCTATGTGAACTTGCTTTGGCAGGGGGGTTGGAGTAGATTGTCTCCAGAGGTTCCTTCCAACCCCTAATAATCTGTGATTCTGTATGAGGCAACAACGCTATGAACTTACACTTTCAGTTGGGTCTTCCATGGTTCGAACAAAGTTAGTGGATTCAACAGTACATGAACGAACAGTTTCAGTCCTGCCTTCTCTGAACAAGCGTGTCATAGAGGCTTCATAGGTCAAAGAAAATTTTCCCATGTCCTTGAAAAGGGAAAAATAAGAACTTAAGGGGTTTAGCCAGACTTAGCCCCTCTTTTTTAATCAACAGTTCAAGGTAAGCCCACAGGATATGAATCACTCCACAAATTAAACTCAGAGTTTCTAGTGGCCCACCATTAGCAGTCTTATCTAAATGTAGTAAAGGCAAAATAAAGTTGGTAGCAGGATCTGATAAACACTAACAGAAAATCAAACTAGCAAGCACTATGCACTACGTTTTATATTTGGTCCTCTTCAGTTTATAACAGAAGTTGATTTAAAGGCTATCAAAAACCTATTTGAAAGTTCAGTGGCTTCCTAATTAACAAAGCTTTGATAATTAATAGAGAAATATTTAATGTACTTTAAAAGTATTTTCAGTTGACAATTTAATAGTATGGAGAGGCATGCCAGTGTGGGGATTTTGAGGAAAATGAGAATTGAAAACAGTCTACAAACTCCAGGAAGTGTGCCTTTCATATTTCCTGTAGATGTGCACAGATCTTGTAACCTACAGATTAAAAGTTGCCAAATGATAGAGGTTTATCTAACACATTAGCAATTACCTGTCTAAAATTTTCACAGTCTGTTCCGATGTATGTTTGATTTGGTTTAGATTAAGAGGATTAGCATTCAAAAAAAAGGAGGTGAGTTATCAGACTATCTGCCACATAGCCATCCTACTGAATGGTAAGAAAGACTAAGTGGTGACAGCAGCCAGGAAATCTGAACGCTTTGAAAAAACACTTGGAATTACTCACAAAAATAAGTAAAACAGTATCTCAACACTGAAAACTAGAAAGCAAAATGAAAAACATGCATGTTGCTACACTGGTGTTTTGTACTCAGAGAGCAGGAACTCTGGATTCCCAGCTGCAGGAAA